CCAAGCGAGGGGTCACTCAATTAATTGGGTGAGTGACCCCTGGGAAACCTTTTGCAAAGTTCAATAATGAATTGAGTGCTTTTTAAAGTTCAGTAATCCCGTGAGAACCTTTTTTTATAAAGTTCAATGATAAATTGGATGATTTTTAAAGTTTAGTAACCCCGTGGAATTCTTTTACAAAGTTCAGTAATCGTTTGGGTAATTCACTCAATGTGAAACCCCAACACGAAGAATGAAGTTTTTTCTCTAGAGGGCAGAAGAACAGTTGATCCTAAGAATGAATCGATCCAGCCAGTGAAACATCACTTGGAAGATATAAAATCAGAAGCCTCCATAATAAGATCTAATGGTCATCCAGAAGCCACGTGTCACAATCCAGCAAATAGCTTCCATTAAGTAAAGTGCTATTTGATAAAAACACGTTTTTCCCACATAAAATTTTGGAAGCACATTTTCTTTATTATAAGGTCCAGAGCTCGAAACACAAGAAGACAAATTAGATCCATCGCCATATAAGCTTATTCTTGTTTTCGAAAATTCATTTTTAGGAGTACTGAACCAAACACGTTTTCAATATTTCACAAAATTGAAAACAGCAAACCAACGCACCCCAAAATTCTGCCATTGCATTTAAATTTATAAATGAATTGGTTTGTGGAATATATTGAACTAATTTACCATCAAGGGCAATAAAGTTGCAAAAGGAAAATAGATACAAGAACAAACAAGATTTATAAAGATTCGCTTTAATGTGAAACTATGCTCTCTTACGTTGCTGCAATAATTCAGTATGATGAAAAGATAACACAAAATCTTATACATATTAGAGCAAAATCAGAATTATAAGTGTGAAATTCCTATTTTATAAGACACATTAGATCGATCTACATATTAACTCCGTACAATGACAATAGTTAGCTACACAATCTCACATAAATCCCAAAACTACTGTAAACTACGAAATCACAAGAAACGTGGCTAGGTTACAGTACAGCGTTGTTCACCACAAATAATTTTATGGATGTCATCCTTTGGTGTGTATTAAATTGCAGTCTTTGCCATTCATGCATATTTCACCATCAAGCTTGTATTTAGACAATATGTGTTTCTTCTTACAAGGTTCGGTGTAATTCCCTAAACCACGAACAATAAACGTCGTGAATCTGATGATTTTTTCTAAACTTGGGTACAACTCTAATTATTAATGAATTCATTTGCTGATGCCTAGATTTTGTGCAGAAAAATCTTTACAAAATCAAAGTATACCGATACTCAGTACCAGATGGACTGTTGGTTTAGACAAGCATAAAAAATGAGTATATAACCTACCAATTGCAAGCCAAATACTTTCTTGATATATTCGGAACACATATAATTTAGTATTACATATTACTAATGGTGTGTCACATTGCTTGAGAGAGTGTGTACTCTTCGACACGACAACATCATTCGACATTTAAGTTTGTCTGATATTTGATTTAGCTCAAGATAAAATTGTACTTTCATCTCAATTTATGAGGGCCACGCCATCACGTTTAAATTATACTTTATGCTTTTTTTATTTTTAAAATTATGGTCTTGTGGTAGTTTGCCAAAGAAAAATACAATATAATTTGAAAACCCTAACATTTGGATCATTCTAAGTTAATCTACAAAGCGAAGAATGTTTGATAAAATCAAACGTGGCATTGAATCACACACCAACACAGGTAGTTCAACAACTCCTCATTCTTGTAATTAAGAGATTTATTAGTTACTTGGTATAAAGATTCTTATGATGCCATGAAACCAGGATATTTAAACAGAAGAATGATACAATCATGATTATTTTACTTACAGAGATAATAATTTTTTCATAAGGGAATCTTTGTTCCATTTTAATTGATAAAAGATTCAATTTGTTTGAGTTCGATGATGTTTAGAGTATAGTTAACATTTAAGAATTCGATAGTTGAAACATGCTCAACACATTAGACTCAATAAAACTATAAAAGATAGGAAAAAAATAAGTAAACACGAGTACGACGAGTAAATGCCCGTATTTATTTAGAGTGACACCAACCTCCCTCAAGTGTATTTGTGTGGACTTGTCTAAGTCGATATTCTATATCGTCTCGTCCCTCAAAAGTCGACACTCGAAGAACAAAATTAGGGCGTCATTTTAAATTGAGTAGTTGTAAGATTTAATAATTAATGGTGAAGATGCTATTGGACAAGAATATATCATATTTCTAGTGGAGACAACTAAAGGAGTCCAACTTTCCAAATACTACTCTTTCAACTGTAATACTGTATTGGCATTTTGCATATTTCTTATTTCTTCCAGATAATGCAATGATTGGAGTCAAAATAATTTTAAATTTGCTTGATGTACGGAATGCTTTTTCACGAAAGTCTGCCAGAACACACACATGAGGGGTGGGAGGGGTATTTTTTGACAATTTTTTTCACGATCGACCCCATATCATGGGAGTATTAAGACAATTTTATGTGAAACTTTCTTCCGTACAAATGAATTAATTCAAATAATTTTTGGGAGCTAAGCCAAAGTTTGTTAAAGCAGCCTCCTAATTGTCTAAATCTTTATGCATATACAGTAAGAAACAATAAAAAACACATGCTCCAATGGAATAGAGTGGGGCTTGCAGGTACTTCTATAATTTAGCTGCACGAGACAAGATGTACTGCCATTTCATACCAACTACTACAAGACCCATTTCAAGGCTTTTTTTTTTTTTTTTTTGGTATTTAAATATTATCCTCTTGGACATTTTCTTTTATTTTCTTCTGATTATTATTACTATATGGATTTCTATTGTAATTGTTATTATTTAAATGTATAACGATGAGTTAAAACTTAGCCGTCCATGTTCTGTATAGATTAGAATTAGATTATTAATAAATTTTGATAAAAGTTAATGAAATGTGTGAATAAAAAGTTGTGAATACTACGAAATGTTAATTAAAATTAATCGTTGACTACACCAAATAGGGGCTTGCTTCGTTTCAAAATTTACGGGTATATATTAAGTGGTTCAAAACTTAAAATGTCAATATCTAGTCACTCAACGATATAATATTTACTCTGTTAGTCATTGAAATCGAATTCTATTTTGTATGTATGATTAAAACTAAAGTTTAATTTTGCCAGGATACTGGATAGTAACTTTTAAATTGTCAATAATGGTAAATGAACACAAGCATAATAATAGAACTTAAATATCTTGCCTTATTCTCAATAATAAACTAGAACGACTTAATAAAAATTTATGAATTCTCAATAATCTCGATTCGTGGAGATTAAGCTCCACAAGTTTCATACTCCTAGTTTCTGAAAAATAACCTCGAAAGTACAAAAGTTTAGAAAACATAGAATCAAACCTATAACAATCAAACATCACTGAGACATGAAATTGGACTACTTGTAGGCGCAGTGTACAGACAACTCTTGTTCCCTGATCTGTTGGGGCACATCCCGCGATTTACCTCCCTCACCAAACTCTAGGAATGGAGCAGTGGGGACCCTCAAATTTGGGATTCAACCTTTTTGTTTTAAGCAAAAACAACACTAACATTCTCTGGATCGACTTCTGAAAATCATTCGATACTGCATAACTTGCGACTCAACAGTATGGGTTCATGTTCCCAATTAAAGAGAGGGCTGGGGTGGCACATAACTCCATACCATGATATTTGGCTTTTCTTGATGTTGAACTACTAGTTTAACTTTTCCATTATATTTCTGCCCAAACACAGTTTTTGTCAGCAAATATTTTGTTATTTTTCAGGTGAATACAATTTTGTAAAAATTTTCAGAGGACTACTAGACCCTTAATTTGAAAAAAAAAATAATAATAATAATAATACAAATAAAAATCAATATTTTGTCTAATTTAGCCCTATTTTTAACTACATTGTCCAGAATGTTACTATTCAAAAAAAATTGTCAAAATGTATTTTTAATGGAGCCCAAAATATTACTATTTAAAAATACATTTTTATTTTTTTTTTGGTTTCCCAAAATGCATTGAATGAAAGCAAGCATATTTTTAGTCAAGTTTGGTCCCAATGGCATGTGATCACCCATGTGTAGCATAAATAGTGTACACAGTTCCAATCTCAATTTTAATAATTACCATAGAATTTATGAAAATAAATGGTCAACTGTACGAATGTTGAACGCATCTATCAATGTCTCCATCCCACGTAGCAAAATCCACATAACAAGTTTACCATGATTACTTTTACTTTTTCGAACTACTGTCGACGTAGTTACTCGATCATAAAATTAAACTATTATAAAAAATTTCTAATTTACGTTTTATCTCATTTTCAATAAAAGGGATATATGACCAACCTTGAGTAAAGAGCCTCCAAATTACCAATGTGTTTGGTCTTATTCGTTCATTTACACATATCAACATCACAAATAAACCGCTAGGTTACGTAGAGTGAGAAAAAGTGATTAAAGCCCCTCGGGGCACAGTTTAATTAGTGGATCAATCAACATTGTCTTGCTTCCAGCGGTAGGGTGGAGAGTTCGATTCTTGGTGAGAACCTGCGGCCAATAAATTTGGTATGAGCAATCACTGTGGAGGAGGGTCTCTTGTGCGCAAAAGTGTACAGACAATGGGAAGAGCCTGTGATCCAATTGAGGCATAACCCGAGATTTATTCCCTCCAAAATTCTAGGGACAAGGGTTTTGGGGGTGTAGGATTTAGTCTAGTAAAAGTTGGAATACCTGGATATTAAAAAAAAAAAGTGATTACAAGATGGTCTCAATGCACATCCAAAGTACATTATTGAAGGTCGGGGGGGGGGGGGGTGGGGGAGTTAAGGACTCATTTGATTGAAATGTCTTTCGAAAAATCAAAAGCAATTTTGAAATTATTTTGTCTGATTAAAAGAACTTTAAGAGAAAGTTAACATATGATAAATTTCCTAAGAAACTTTTCTACAAAAAGTAGAAGTCGTGTTAGACGATCCCTAAATATAGTCTCATGCTTCTTTATTTCAATAAATATTAATTTTAGAATAATCTTATTATAAAACCTACTTCCCTATTTTATACATGTATCATATTTCACATTCTTTTTCTGCTTAGCTGCCCGATACTCTACACATTTGTATCATATGGAACAAAATATCAACTTGAAGTGTCTACCACCTAACTACGCTTCTTCCTCCTCCTCCTCCATAACCACCACCACCGCCATTTCCTCCGTCTCGTCCGATGGCTCGACTGTTTCTTCCTCAAACTACTCATCTACTGATGAAAAAGAAAGTACGAAAAGCCTGAAAGAGTGTAAAAATGGTGGCAATGAGAAGCATAATCCAATTAGTTATCGTGGTGTGAGGAAGCGGAGTTGGGGCAAATGGGTGTCTGAAATTCGAGAGCCGAGGAAGAAATCAAGAATATGGCTCGGAACATATCACACGGCGGAGATGGCGGCACGAGCTCACGACGTAGCGGCTTTAGCAATTAAAGGCCACTCAGCTCATCTCAATTTCCCTCATTTGGCTCACCAACTTCCTCGCCCCGTTACCACTTCACCTAAAGACGTCCAAGCTGCCGCGGCTAAAGCAGCAGCAGCCACCATATATCCCGACCAAATTACAGGCGGCGAATTCAATGCTGAAGCACATGAGCCGCCGCCGCCAAATTCTGATTCTTCAACAAATTTAGAAGCATCCAATTCTTGCTCAACCGTGGATGATAGCGACACATTTTTCGACCTCCCAGATCTTTGCTTCAATGAAACATACCTGAATGTCGGATTTTCTTACCGTGCTTCTTCATGGAAGCTAGCTGGAGCAGCAGCCGATATTGGATTCCGGCTTGACGATTCATTTCCATGGGACGGCTACTGGCAATAACCCCATCAGCAGCCACTGCACATTGGTAATTTGATAATATAAAATAAAGAGCAGAAACACCATCCACCCCCGTATATGTATGTATGTATGTGCTTTAGAGTGAGAGTAAACATGTGAAGATGAATAAGAATTGACTGCAAGGTTTTAATGGACTTGGTTCTTAATTTGCCTAAATTTTTGCTACTCGAGTGTATAATGTTTCGTGTATTTTAATCTAAGTCCAAATTAAGAATTAATTTTAATTATATATTTCATGAAACTTACACTTCTAATCATATATTTAATCAACTTTTATAAAAATCGCTAAAAATCTGATTTTTAAACCCCACTAAATACATTTTCTGCTCAAAAGAGAGATTAAATAGTTGAAAAGATAAAAATTGTTCAATCCTAACTTCAATAAATTGAAGAAAAAAATCAGCTTTTTCACCCTACGACGACTTTCCTCACACGTCCAATTATGATGAAAATTTTATTTCTTGTAAAATTATATAAATATGTCAAAATTTGATCGGAGAAATAATCAATGATATTGGAAATGAAAGTTTGAGGATTAATAATGAGAGCAAAACTGCAAAATTATGATCCTCAAAAATGTTTTACAACCCGATAACAATTTTACTAAACTAACACATCTATAATATATAAAAATATCACATCAAGGGAGAATTCCTCTATAATTCAATTATTTCAATAGTACCTTACTTTTCTTTTTTGATATGTAATACATAATACAAAATTATTGTCATTTATGGAATTTGTGTTATTAATTCTCAATTAATTAACATTCACATTAATCTAGATTCAATGAATTTTCATTTGATGAATTTTGAATTATATAATCTAGAGTTATTATAGATAAATTTATTAATATTCATATATCTGAAAATTTTAAAGAGTGTTTAAATTTATATATTAACAATTAAGTTTTACGTATCAAATGTAATATAAAAATATTGCTTATTCATAGTATTTCATCGTTAAAAAAATTTGAATCATAGAAATTGAGTTTTGAGGGTATAATTTTCTTCTCTTAAATTTCTGTGCTAAATTTTATTTTTTTTAATTCGTCCAAAACTCATCAAATCCTATAACAAAACGTTATTAAATATTATTTTTCTATCACTTATAAAGTATTTTAATATTATGTGCAATGCACGTTTAACTTTAACTAGTATTTTAAAAAAGTTATATAAAATAAATAGACAAATCTGAATTTATTTACTTTTAAAGAAATTTTAAACAAAATGTAAAAAGTTTAGACCCACTATTTATAAATACTTTTATAATTGATAAGGAAGTGACCGTTCCATCACTATCTCCTTGAAGTCTATTCCCCAATCATTTAGCCACATTGCAATGCTTCATTGGTCAAAGTGGCATATATAAAGATTAATGTCATTTTCAAAGATAAAATTAATTATTTGGGCAACATTATATACTCAAATTGACATCCTCTTAACTTTTAGGCCGAGAAGATCATTTTTATTTAGGTTCCAAATGCCAAGATTCCATACAGTAACAACTGTACATAGCAAATCTAATTTTGCACATCAAAGGTACGTTTTCTAAAGATTGAAGAATCCAATGTCTTGTCCAAAGGTAGTAATTTTATAATGTGTATTTACCATTCGAATCCGACAAATTCTAAGTAGAGACAGTTTTGCTCTTGGCTTGGAAGTATAGATATGTTATGATGTCCTACTGGGATCAGAGCTTCCAAGGCTCGACTAGATAGAATCAGAAATCGTCACCAATTTTTATTTTTATTTTTTTTTCACTATATACAATAGTCTACTACCAAAAGTATTGATTTTTTGGGTGAAAAGAGTCCATTTGTGAATAGATACTAGAAAGCTGAGTAGAAAGCGACTGGTCAACTAACTTAATGCATCAATGCAAACAATGCCTTAATTACAGGGTACTAGACATGCCCAAACAGCTTGATCCAATTGGGTTTTCATGTTCTTTAATAGTATTTTGATTCATTGCTATCAAGACTTGAGTGGATACTTCACTGGAATGAAGAGGGACCAGTTTTTCCATTATTGTTTGTGTATTACTATGGATTCAATCAGCCCAACCCGGCCGAGTTAAATCCTTCAAAATGCCAGTTTTTCATTATTATTGGAAGAATAATAATAACGCCCGTCTAGGTTAAACAATGTGACCAATCCAATTAAAATCAAGAACGATGCAAGCAAACGAAGTAACAAATATCCCCATAGATGACCAAAAAATTTCATTACTATCATGTAACGGGAATTGTATATACACATACATATTAAGAATCCCAAGTTACATTTCAATCATCTAATCACACTAAAAACAATAAGTATTCAAAAACAAATTGAACTGTGGCGCCAAAATCAATTAATGCTCCTTAGTTCTGGAACTGTCCTCCCTCCCTCACACGATGGTCAGAATTGTAAACACTCTTTCTATGGGGCTTAGGGTCGAAATTTTTATTAATGAAATGGTCACTCAAAACTTCATGCCTAACACTGCAATGTAGCAAGTTAAAAAGTATCCAATATAGCTAAGAGCGGTAAATATATATACAACATAAAATTCAAGAGAAATGCGAAACCGCGGCCCTGATTTGCAATGGATGGAAGAGGAGCTTTTAGAAATTCCTGCTATGAATCTTTTGGTCTCAGCATATCTAAGTACATAAATACATGTGAACATTGTCCACTAAGTCTGGTTTGAAATGCATCTGAGGCAGTGCAGTTATCACTGCCAAGCTCCAACTCCTGGTTAGATGTATACAGGTTTGACGTCGTTAGGCCCAAAACTTGCTGCACATACTGGGCACTTGCGGTGACGCGATTCAGTAATTCCTTTTACACAAGGATTGCAAAACAGATGGAAACATTTTGTGATAACCACCTGAAAAGAACACTTCTTAGTTCAAGAATTATAGCATCTGAGCAAACGGATTTACTCTTTTAAGAAGATATATGGTAAAACATTATGAGCAGGGTTACCCCAGTGGCCTACCAACTATAAACACCAAAAGACCTTATCAACTTAGTTTCCCGAGTCATTAAAAGAGGTGGAAAGTTTGGGGATAAACGTGTAATTTGAACCTTGAATCCCCTCCCAACTCACAAATCAGCAATGTTGCAAATGCTACTTTTTCTTCCATGACTGAAATGTGGTTGACTATGGAAGAATAACGAAGATAATTGAAGACATACCTCTTTTCTCCTATCATGGCAAACAATGCACTTCAGTATTTCCTTGTATTCCCCAAGTTCCTGCTTAAGCTTTTCAGCTTCAGACGAACCGTCAGCATGTGACTTCAATTGTTCGGCCTTCCTTCTCACAGTTTCCAGATCTGCCTCTACTCTCTTTCTCTCAAATCTAGTAAGGAGAAAAGTTTTAAGAAACAAAAAAAATAAAAATAAAAAAACCAAAAACCAAAAACCAAAAACAAAGAAAAATAAAAAGCACCTCCACATAACTGGAAAAATGCAAACTTTCTTTCTCTAGTTGTAAGTAAGCTAGAAAAGCATAACAGAGAAATTCCAACCACCTCTCTTTCTCTAGCTCTATCTGCAGCTCGGCAAGATCCAGTCGACCCCTGTCAGCCTTGGCTTGTGCTTCCTCAAGAGTGTCGATCAGTTGCTGAGAGGACTTTCTCACGTCTAACTGTCTCTTTTGGGTATTTTCAAAAGTAGCTATCTTTCGGACCCTATCTTCTGTGAGTCTCTGAATTTGATCCAAGTAGGCTTTCAACTGCAAATAAATATTACCAATGATGAGTTCTAAATATATAATAATAACAGTTTTGATTGGACTAAGCAGTGTCATAAAGTTTAAATTTAATTGAGCAATTCATATTACCTGATCTTCAATTCTAGCTACTTTCGTTTCAAAAAAATCATCAGATGTCTTGGTTTGTTGTATGGCTCTCTCCAGGGAACGCTTTTTCATAAGTAGATTATCTCCCATCTGCCTTGAATGCACTCCCTCAAAAACAAGCTGAACAGTAATACCAATTAGATGACACGCCAAAATTAAAATCCATTGAAAGCTAAAATATATTTGTGTTTCCCATATTTCATGGGGTGAGGAGTAAGGGGATGATCAATAAAGATTGTTGCATAGCTTCTACACAGCAAATGAGGCAGCAAGTCACAAAACCTTGACAATGATTCTTCTCTCACGTTAACATTTACAAATATAAACAATGACGCTTTGTTTGAAATAAGGATTTAGTGAGGAAAACAAATGCAAATACCAGGTCAAAAACTTCTCCATATTTGAGAGAAAATAGTGAGATAAGCTACTTTCGGAAAATCTCAAACGCTTCTATAGTTTTGAAGAAAACAAGTACCTGCATAGAAGATTAGGAGAAGTGCGACATAGCAAGGAAATTACATAGCCCACGTAAATATCTGTATGTTTTTATTACATTTCAAATGTGTCTTCTTCTCTGTTTGGAAACCGACCAAATGAAAGCCAATTGGAAATTCATTTTCCTCGCTGTTTCACTTGGACAATTAAACAAGCTTGGGATTTCACTTTTTTGGATTGTGTTCTCCTTTTCCCTCCAATTTCTTTTACCCTGCTATCTCCAAAATTTAAATCGGGGATCAATCAATTTTGACAAAAATGTTACTACAAGGTTAACACCATGAGAGAGGCCAACAAAAAGAAAGGCCTGCTTGCCATATCCCCATGGGTGCAGGAATCTTCAAAAAGAGCAGGCTGACTCTCTATGGCCCAAGACCTTGGCTTCAAAATGAATAAAGGGAAGCTCAAAGAGCTTTCTCCTCAAAGCTTTACAGGTACTACACAGCCCAGAAAGTGAAAAGCAATATACAAGGACTCTAGTCCACTTCCACTTAAAAGAACCACCAGGCAAGCTAAACAAACAATAAATATTTGTTTGAATTGGCGTCTTTCTCCAAACAAGAAAATACTCAATTCGGTGTAGCTAGGTTAAAAATACAGAAATTCATGTCACCTAAGTTTATGATTATGCCAGCAATAAAGAATTCTAAGAAATATGTATTCTTGATCTCTAATATCAAGGTGCAGATTATGACCAAGAAACAAGTTAAGCAGTATGAGAAAATAAACAAGCATAAACTAAGTGGTAAAAGAAAAAACAAGATCATTAAATAATATCTGGCTGAGACAGTAAGCTATTGGACATTATCCAGTATCAACAGACATAAGAAATGACTTAAGGCAACAGTCAGGAGGCAGTATCATCATATTGTTGCATGTATAAACTCCCAGCAGCTGAAAGGAGTATGAAAAGCAAAACGATAGAAACAGATCCTAAAGCAAAGATCAACAGCTTGACAATAAAATCATGGATATTGGTTGCATCATAGCCCTAGGTTATGTCTGCACAGCCATGTACTTGGTGACATGAATGGCACATGACAACCACAAAAAAATAAGAAATGAAACATCTAAGACAGGCCAAAAAAAAAAAAGAAAGAAAAAAAAACCAATGTGTAATGAAAACTATATAATATATTGCACAATCAGTCACTGAAGTTGAGCAATTACTGAGCGAATTACTCAGTATATATCAAGCACAAAATTAAGTGCGTTCATGTCACAAGATTCTGTTGGCAATCCTTTAATCAAAATGGGAGAAACAGATGAAGAAAAAATCATATAAATTTTACTTTAAGATCAAACAAATTGAAGCTGGAAAGATTTCCATTTAGTTGAAATCCGGTTGATTACTGACCTTCATGTTATAGTCATCCCTTTCACTGATTTGCTGCAAAAGCTTTTGGTTTTGAGTCTGCATATCATCGTATGCCTGTCCAATGGTCTGTTGAAAAAGAATGGCAACAAGTTTAGGCCAATTTGAGAAATTTAAACAAGGAGTCATCCATCTGAACAAAGTTTGATAAAATAGAAACCTCAATCTCTGAAAGATAGGCCTCTGTTTCCTCATGTTTGGAGTTTAGGACATCAGAAAGCCTGGATTTTTCTCTGAAATATTCATAGATGAACAATCATTCAGAATACTCAGAAGGCAACAGAAGCAACTTAGACCTGCTGAAGTGAATATTTTACCAAGAGACATTATATGCAAGTTTTAAGTAATTATTCTTGTTCATTTAACTCAAGCCAGCTTTCACACACTTTCAATGCTAAAAGAGAAGATATCTGTCTGTTAACTCTCGGACACAATCTCACGCTTGACACGCTTCAACGTGTGTCAGATATGCGAATTACACATATCAGACAGGATTTGGATACAAGCAATAGAAACAACCAGCAACTTTTAGGATACATTTATACATTTTGGAATTAAAGTTGTGGGATCAAAGGAAATATACAGAAGTGTAGAAGTTAAGATGGTAAGCTACAAACTGGTGCACTGCAATTTTTAACAGACCAGCCAGTTTAAACAATATTCCAGGTGTCAAATGCTTTTCTGATTTTTATTTTATTTTTGAAAAACAAATATATATGTATGTGGCAGAAAGCTAGTTGTTGCTCTCAGCTGAAAATCTTGGGGTTGTGCAAAAGTCCAAACTCCCAGTGGGACATTGCATTTTGCTGTGTCCCAACTCTCAAGCTCTCTGCCTGATCTTTTATTTTGACATAAAAACAAGACCCACGAGATATCCCTTATAGGGAGGGTTTTTCACGTTCCAGGCAGCCTGACACTTTTTTACAACTCTACAGTGCACTTTCAACTTTCCCTCATCACTCATCTCTCTCTTCTCAGTGCTTAGCCACCTCTTTTGACCGCTGCCGGATATGATCACCTCTACCACCATCTAGATTCACCAACTTCCCATTTCCATTGACACCTCAAACTTCGTCAACTTTCAAACAAAATACTCTTAATGTCACCACATGATCAGTCATTCTCCATCCCACCCAACCCATATTGCAACTTCCAGTTTCTCATCAAAATTATCCCCTGATAACAGAACTCCCAAATCTTTCTATCTATGTCAATTCTCATCTTACCTGTTAAATTATTTTTCTTCTCTCCTTTTTATGATGCATAATCCAATTGTGATGACTGAGTTCATGGTTGTTACTTCTTCTGTGCTCCTTCAACTTAGGTTACATAATTGCATCCCAGCCATTTCATGTCCTCTTTTCAAGATTTTCATATCCCCCCATGTATCCATAAAACACAGGAAGGCCAGCATCATATAGGAATGAAAAGAAGATCAAAATCTTAGGTATACGTTCTTATGTACCAGAAATTTCAAATTAAAGCATGTGATATGAAATGGTAAAAACTATCCAGTTGAATTTAAAAATAAGTTAATTCCCAACATCCAGTAATTAGAAAATATAAACTCTAAAGAAGCTGATAATATTGTCAATTCTTTATCAGAATTACACCAGAAAATGCCACAATTATTCAAGATCCATTACCCGTCAAAGAAAGATTTAGAGAAAATGGGAGCCAAAGATGGGAAATCTGAAGACGGAAACACGACCTTAAATCACATCTAAAATTCAACACACAGAAAGAATAGAAGGCTAAAGTATTAGACAAAAATCAGCAAAACATGGAACAGACCTTTTAGAGGCAACTAACTTCTGTCTCAGATCAGCAATCTCAGCCTCTCCAGTGGCTAACCTTTGCTGGGCTTTTGCCTCAGCTTCAATGGCAGCTTTAACTCGCAACTCCAAATTGTGCTCATCAAGAGAATTCTTCAGGCTCTGAACATGTGACCAAGCCTTGATCTCAGAACTTCTGGCTTCATCAACTTCCCTACATTCAACAGATCGAGATCAGAAAGCACTCAGGTTCAAGATAGTTGATTCAGGAAAATTTTGGTTCGAATAATTAAAACACATCTGGAAAGATCTTATAACTCAAAATTAGCTATGATGACAAGAGAGTAACACGAGCCTTTCATAGAGTGGCAAATTACCATTTTACAAACTCTCTTTGAAAACATTCATAAAAATCAGTGGTGTAATCAAGCATTTTCATATTTAATACCCACAAAAGCCTTCTTATTTTGATATAAAGTGCAAAAGACACAATTTGCTGACTATTCTACCTCTGAATCTTTTTATTCTTAATTAATATATATAACTTTTTATTATATCAGGAGGTGGGGGATTTCAAATTGAGATGGGACAACCAAGATAAGTTTCTAATCTGCTAAAACTCATGCATAATATCATAAGTTAACATGTATGTAAAGATAAAAATCTAAGAAAGAGGATAAGTAACCTCAAAGCTTCAAAAAAAGGGAAATGAAGAATAAAGGACAAAAAACAATTAAAAGTAAATAATATTCCCACTAAATCAAGAAACATAGAAAGCAATTGAAATAGAAAGCCTCCAGAGCTTCTACAACTTGTGAGGACACTCATACATAAACTTCATGTCATAACCAAAAAGAAGAGAGGCGAAAGCACCAATATGTAACCGATTGTATGCACAAAGAAAGTGACCCAAGAGGAGGAGTCAACCATCAACTGGCCACATGTGCCAATTATGACTTCTCTTCTCCGGCAACACAATTCACTGGCACATGCTACTGATATACCAGTGGCTAATGATAAACATTTTATCAGTGCAATGCCATTTATGTTATGCTGGAAAAAATTCCAAAATTCCCGCTATATTATAAAAATTACTTCTATTAGTAATGATATCAATACCACACCCAGTCACACAATTCACAAATCAACACCAAAAGGAAAGCTCTAAATGACTCAGTTAGAGGTGTAATCACTGAAGCAAGGATAAGGACACGACGAACACACACCAACACATGATTTTTCAGCAAAGCATGACACAGACACTTCATGGACAAGACAATTTGTATTCTTTTAATAAAATGACATTTCTAATCTTTTTTTTGTGCTTATTGTTTTTCAATATAACTTCATATTTCTTTTATCTTTAATTTTGATTTTTGCAAGGTGGAGTATTTTGAATTAGTTGTTATTTGTAGTACTAAGAGGACTTTGGGTTGTATTATTAATTTACTAGACGAAAGAAAAAAATACAAATAGATTGTAGGTTTTCCAACATTATATGACTTTTCTGACACAAATTTTATAATAATTCGACTTTTCCAACTTTACATTCAACAATATAGAAAATGGGACTCTTGTCCTTGTCGTATCCAGGAAATGTCCTCGTGTGTTATAAATCAAAAAATTTATATATGAATAATACGGGACAGGCCACATGGATGTTAAAACCATGGCAAAAGAATGTCAAGGAAGTCTCCCTTCTATGTATGTATGTATGTATGCATATATGTATGTGTGTGTGTGTGTATATATATAGAATTTGGGAACACGTGTACCACAGTGTCTTGGTCCAATACATATCACAACGTGACACCCCCATCCTATGAATAGTGTTGGTTCTTACTGTAAAATCATCATGAAATGAAGTTTTATCTAGGGTGTTCAGTAGTGATTATGAGAATTGATTTTTTGATAGTTAGAGAAAAAAGTGGGTCCCACTTGTGAGTGAAGAATTCAAAAATGACGGCTGAAATAATAAAATAACAAGAAAAAATTGATTTTTTGGAGTGAAAAATTGCTACCAAACAAGGGCCTAATATTTTCAGCTTTCCACTATGCTTCTGATCACTAGTAAACCATTCCACTCACCAACTCCAATTTTCTATTGGGTAAAAGCGGGGATGTGGTCAGCTAATCAAAATGGGAAAGCACATACTCTAGGTAAAGTGAAAAAATAAAAAATAGAAAAATAAAATAATAATAATAAGTAGCAGGAAATTTGCAGACTGTAATATGAAGGTTGCAGCACTAGATAATTGGAATTCCTCGATGATTACTACTGAAATAAGCGCGTTCCTTCAACCGGAACAATTTAAGAAAGAAAGAAAGAAAAAAGTTATCTGAATACGATCAGAACAAAAACATTTTAAGAAAATGCTAACCTTGAATCAATCGATTCACATCTATACATTTCCAAAAAAAGCTTCAAGTCTGAATCAGCTTCCTTTAAATCATGGACCTACACCAAGACATCAAAGTTAAATTACAAAACATTTAAATTAAAATAGCCCTCATTTTAAATATTGATCAGCAAGACCTTGTTGTCCACGTCAAAAGATAGAACTGGGATATAGGGATACATGATAGCTATTACATGTTTCAGATAAAATATTCCTAGATAATGCATCAGACTGCTAACATTACGTATGAATTGGTCGAAGTGGGTTTGTGCCATAAATGTTAGATGACCTACAGCAGATTCTATTACAGAGCCACGGCTTATAGACCCTTCTTTTCATTCCATTAAATGGCACTGTTACATAAATTTTTTTGGGCCAAGAGCAGCAAGAATAAATCATATAAAAGAGTACATTCTTTTTTGCACCTTAGGTCGCGAAAAAGGATTGCTTGACAAGTAAACGTAATATAACATGAGCCATGTCGCCACACACTTATGTCATAGAAGGCAAAAATCATACCACAGCTTGTAATTTCCGTATTTCAGCATTTTGCTCAGCAGATCTGGATGACGAGTCCAATTCCTTAGCCTATACATATTTAAGGAATGGTTTTAACCAGCGTGACAAATAATTTTAAAAAAATGACTGCAAGTATAACAAATCCGACCTTGCCATCAAGAATGTTGGTAAGAGATTGAACATCAGCACGCAAACATTGAATATAAGAAGCAGTCTCCTTGTGTTGAACTAACTGATTCTGCATGTTACCCATTTTCTCAGGAAATGAAGAAACTAAGGCTTTGAACTCCGCAATGATTTCATTCCTACCTGAGGTTAATCAAATCAATATAGCTGTGTTGACACTTGGACAGAGAAGCAACAAGAACGCCATGAGATATGAGGGAATACCAGGTTCTCTAGACGCCTCCATCAGCTTGGCTTCAATTAGCCTTTGTTCTTCTATGCATTTTGTAATCTCTGTCTCCAGATCAGATATTCTAGACTCGGCAACCATCGAAGATCGACATAAAACGTCAACCAATTCAATTTTCATGTAAATTTCTTTTTCCCGCCAAGCAAGACAGTCCTTCTGAACCTGAATTGAGTTGTTGAGTCAGGACAGAGACCAAATCTCTTCAAAAACCAGAAAGTGAAGTTAAAATTGAAACTACCAACCAGTAACAACCTGTAGTTTCTCATAAAGAGCTTGATATTGAAGTACATTGGCTTTAGACATTTCAAGTTGATCTTTAAGCAGGAAATATGCTTGGGAGGAACAAATACATTTGACATTCTTCAGATTGTTCTGTCAAACAAAAACCAGTTTATAGACTAGTAAAAGAAGTAGGAGTAAAAACATAGTCAGAAAACACCACATAAGACGAATTTCAATCTAAACACGAAAGAAAGAAAGAAAGAAAATTAACTTGCAAATTTGATAACTGCCTCAATATCTTTATCCTATCTTCATGAAGACGTCTAAGTTCCTGTAGTCGGGAAGAGGATTGGTTCTGCACAAAGTATGCAAATTATCTTAAGACCATTTTACAAGTGGAAATATAATCCATATAAGCTAGAGGAAACAGAGTGCAGGTGAATACCAATAAATCCTTGAGTATCGACTCCATCTGTAGCAGATCGTCTTGTTTGTTGCTAGTGTCATCACTGGTGACGTGCTTGTTTCGTCGATTCAGTATGGGAAAGGATGCTCCTTTTGCCAAATCTCTCTCGACTTTTAGGATTGCCAAATTACGGTTGCTTTCTTCCAATTCCGAAATCGAATTCTCCAACTCCCCTTTATATGTACAACCAAAATATGTCAGTTACGATACCTCTCAAGAGGACATTTAGAGCATAAATGAAGCTTACCAAACAATTTGGAGATCATGCAAAACGAATAATACAAGGTCAGCACATTTTAAAGAAAATTTATTTATAAAAAACCCTCAAACAGACAGTATTGTTTCCGAGAAAAAGCAACCACACTTCTAGAGAAACCAGTATAATGTACATTGCATCAAGCAAGTGGTGAACAGGATCGAGGAAGTTGATGTATAGATGACATCACAAGCAGACTTCAAAGTAAGCCCCCAAGTACACTCTTAATATTTTTTTAATTTCAAATATGGCAATGTTCTTCCTAATTTTCCAGCAGATATAATGGATTATCCAAATAAGATAAAAGATTACAGCAGAAGCACAACTAAGCCTTATTCAAAAAAAAAAAATTAGGGGTCAGCTACAAGAATATTTTTGCCACTCCAAATAACTGAAGAAGGCAAACTTGAAAATAGTCTTCTAAAAAAAACAGGTGCAAGAAAATCTTGAGGATGATTCTTCAAATCATTTAATAGCACTGTGCAAGTGACATGAACTAGATTCCCTGTAGTTCTCCATAAGTTCGGTCATAAAAGTGTACAAACTGCTAAGAAGGTTCAGAGAATGCATACAGGATACAAGTTGCGGCAAAAGACTGTTGACAAGTAAATGCTACCTGAAAAATATTTTTCTTTTTCTTTTCTTTTTTTTTCCCCTTTTTTTTGGGGGGTTGGGGGAAGAGGGATGATACAGAGAGATCGTTTACATTTTCTCTCTTCAAAAACTGCAAAAAATATCAACACAAACAACTGTAACAAAGGAGAAAACTAAAGATCTGAAATCCGTTCACTCAAGCTCTTTAATGACCTAGCCTTCAGATTTCCCAAGTCCAGCTGATTCTTTTTTCCTAAAATAAAGTCAATATTCAATTTTTGCTCTCTGAACAATTTGGTAAAAAGATTTGAATAATAAACATCCTGAGGGGAATAAATACTTGATGTTGCAGATGTGGAAGCATATTTCGAAAAGAACTCATATAAAGGTTGCAAAAGACAACTTGCATGTGCTTCGAAATCAACTTGATAAATACTCAAATCCAAATGTTCTACCTACTTCAAGAGTTGTTACATCTTTAGCAGTGCAAATACAATTAAAGAGATATATGCAGGTAACGGGAGAGAAATTAATATATAAAAGAGGAAGATTTTATACTTGAGCAACTTCACAAATAACAAAAAAGGAATCATCAGTACATAAACAATTTCAAGAAAGCAAATGCACCCAAAAAAATTTCCTGAAACCAAATCTACACACATTGATGAAGATTTGTTGTGAGCAACATGTACTTCCACCAGCATGAATTGAAACAAACGACTTCCACTTTCTATGCAAGATATCTGAGGACCAGTCTTCTAAAATCAATAGTATAAAACAAAATCCCTCTAATTTTTACAAGTGGATACAAATACAAGTATAGACAAAATAAGTACACTAGCTACTCAACACGGTGAAACCTGGAACCCAGTTAAATTTTAGCTGAGTACTTAGCCCCATGAAGCTTGTGCCGAAAGATACCAGTCAAAGACATTGAAGAGAATTGTGTACTAAAAGAATACCAATATGCTTAACTGTAACAAAATGAAGTGGTAGATACCTATAGAAGTAAATATTTCAGTCAGAAAAAACAAATACCTTTCAAACATTTTAGATCAGCATTATTCTTTGTGTCAGTGTCTCGATGGCCCTGAAATTCAGCGGCCAGTGATTTGTGCTTCAAGTGAATACTTCTCACTGCCAGTCTTAGATTCTTAACTTCCGCCAACAAATCACATGATAACCCCTGCTGGCTCCATCCTGCGACATGAGAATAGAAAAGAAAGAAAATGACAACAAAAAAATGAAGCAATCAAAGATACTCGCCTAGAATGCTGATAAGAAATTGGTCATCTATATTCAAAAGCTTCAAAGCTGCATGCTTGTTCCTTGTATGGTCTTACCATCAGATGGAAGCACGTTGAAACATGCTGTAGACAAGCTACTCTTCAGCTTACCCAAATCCTCACACACATTAGCCGTTTTATGTAATATTCTCTCTGTCTTTCCACCATCAATTTGCCTATCATCTTCAGTCAGATCTGTGGTTGTGCCAGCTGAGCTACTTTCAGTTGCGCCCATTTCCAAGAGGCGGCCTAAAAAAGCTTTCTCAGGAGGTGAATCACCATCTGAGAAGCAAATAATATAACTTCATCAGCAAACGCGATTTTCATACATCAGTTCACCGGTCAACTTAACAAAGTTCAAAATGAAAAATGCAGGAGAGTCATCTGTTTCACATGTTGCTATATACTAGTTTAACCAGTATTTGAAGATAAATATAACCCAGGAATCTCATGGTAATAGCATTCCCACTGCGGAACTATACCAGAGAAGATAATAATGGAGAAAAAGTTATAAAAAGACATAATCAATGTGATTTAGAAGATTAGTAGAAACCTCAAACATAAAATTTCAGTAGGATTAAATCAAACACCAATCAAACAAATCATTACAGAGATGGGGGTGTTTTCCTCAGTCTTGGTACCTTGAGAGAGAGAGAGATCTTAAATATATGCAATAACAAATTATGAAAAACAGTTGAAAAACACTACTCTTGAACAAAAAAGATGCTGGTTGCTGCAAACATCTAAAAACAATTCTTGAAGGCGTTAGAAAACATTAGGTATATAATTGCCAGTAGACAGGGCAGTAAAGGATTTTCAAATATGGTGTTGGCTACTATAAAAAAGTCATAAAGATTGCATAATTTAACCTGAGATATTTGTCACTTTATCAATTAATTCACACGTCCGCATGAGGACAAAACATTAATAGACAAACCGGTGACAAATATATTTAAAAAAATTAAGAGATGTGAATAAGAATATAGATAAGGAAAGGTCTAAAAGACATGTGCTGAGGCACAGAACAGAAAATCCCAGAAGTAGATAAAAAGGAACGTGAAACCTCAGGATATAACAATTATTTATCTCAGAATCTCAACACATTTCCTGGCCCGTGAGAGGTATCAATTTCAGGGATCAATATAAACCAAGTAGAGGCTTATTTAAAACTAATTGCAATTCGGTAAAAGTTCAGAAACACATCTTGAATGTTGTTGACACCCTCAAAATAAATTATCGAAGATTCAAGGAAACTCTAATCATCAATAGAAATCAATCAATAGGGAAAAATAAATATATAGCAAGCCATGTGTATCATACAAAGAAACATCCACTAGATCAATCTTATTTGATAATATCAAACTCAGGTAAGAGTTAAAACTCAGATCTTGCATCATCTTGAAGTAAAAATACGAAAGAAAGCAGACGAAATAAATGGAGATGAAGAAATAGGTCCTTATGAGTAAAACAAAGAAAAGTGGAAGAGGTAATTGATTCGTTATCAAATTTGCCGAACCTTGAATGGACACATGGCTGTGACACAAGGGACAACTACTAAATATTGGTGACTGGTCAAAGTCATACGATTCAAATATGTCAATATGACACATATCAGAAAATTGGGTGAATACATGAGAGTTATTTATATGTAGAACGTGTTTCGAAAATGAAAATGTGCCTTTACTTTATTGGGCTAAAACTATTTTTATCTTTACTAGGAGGGATTAGGAGGAAACAGAAAAAAAAGGGGGAAGATCCTGTGTAAGTCAAGGCATCTCTCACCATCTTTGACAATTTGTTGTTCAAAACCTCGTCCACTTGTCACCAAGTCTTTTATGTGATTAGAACGTGATTCCAAGTCATCAACCAGCTGGTATAAAAGTGGAACAAAAATTACAATCATAACTGACCAGAACAATAAGCATGTGGCAGTTAAAATTGCATATATATATATATATATAAAGAGCGGGAGAGAGACTAATGGAAAAACAAGCAAAAGTTAATACCTCTTCCCATGAATTATTAACCACAGCCAAAGTCTTCTCATGTAAGTTTTGTTTCTCCTTTAATTTACATAATTTGGAATGCAGAGCACGAATCTCGACCTTTTGAGCTTCTAACTTCTGGGTAAGTTTCTGATTTTGAAATTGAAGTACTGCTGCATCGAGCTACAGCAACAGAAAACTTATATTTTAAGGAAATGCTATGACTAATTCAACTAAAATAGGAACAGTCCAAAATACTTCCATGAGAACAAACACCGGAAGCGATAAATGGCCACTGTTTGACAGAAATTTTACAGCTAAACCAAGTGGGCAAATCCTTTCAGAAAAGATTCTTCTCCCTGTGGAGCAGATTAGTTTACCGCCTCTGCAGCATAGACACTTCACCAACACGTGTCGGATACTTTTCGATACTAACACTACTCGACACTCTACCACAAGCATTTTTCCTTTTTATTAAAAATATTATGCCCCTGTTTGGTCCCCATTAAATTACATTTCATTACATTTTATTTTTCTCTCTCCTATTTTCAAACACACAATCTTCCATAAAATAATATTACACGTAAATCGAAAAATTTTCCTTCTTTTTCAACCACTTATTTTTTCAACAAAACACTATTCCTCCCATTTTCATTACCAAAAATGGGGGCCAAATGGGGGCTATATATTTTACTCTCAAAATTATCGGTATATAACAAATAGATACTCATATTTAAAAGATTTGAAACAAAAATAAATAAATAACGAGAATAATACTAAATTTATACTATAGAAATGAAGAATTTTAAAAAATCTAATCAACGTGTCGACGATGTGTCGTATTGGTACTTTTTTTAAAAATTGCGTATTAGATAAGTGTCGGACACACTTGTCCGTGTACATAGTTTACCGCTTATTAATTGCTCATTGAGTAGTATTAAAACCCAATAACAATTGGATATGTAAAAGCATCAAGAAATTTGGTACACGAGCAGCTCATATTAATGAATTAAAATTAAATATACAAAGCATCCAAAGAGGGAAAATTTATCAAAATCCATGTGAAGATTAACAGAATTACTGTCTTCAGCAATAATTTGAATAGAACTCAAGAAAACGATGTAGTTTCAGTCGTCATCATAAATGATTCATTTATCGAACCTTCTAAAATATGTTTTAATTGTTGTATATGTCTATTGAAGGAAAATCGTTTCAATATGAAATAGTCAAAGTTGCAACACAAAATGCCTTACCTGGGTACCACATCTGTGCACTAAATAACATTTTTGGAGAAAAATAGTCAAGAGGGAGCTTTACGAAGAAGCAGTATGCATAAAGAAACAAAAATATATCACCAATCTTTGCCAGTGAACTACGAGTGCCAAATCCCATCAGCAAGTGTCTCGTCAAACTAGATGGATTAAGTGCTTATTTGGTAAAGCTTTGTTTGTAAAAAACTCGTCGAACTTCATTTTAACCCCCACATTTCATTGGACCACAACTTTTTTACGCTTCACGACACATTTCATGGGACCGTGTTAGCAACATCACCCAGCCCCTAAATGTATAGAAAGCATTAAAACAAAATGAAGACTCTTTATCCTCCACATTAAGCTGTGAAATACTTCAAAATTATCTTTGAACTTGCAGTTTATATTCAGAACAATACCCATTTTTAGGTAATACAAACCTGTGCATATTCATAATCAGCCAAACGAACTATAGAGTTAAAAATAATTTTATTTCCCTTTTCCTGTCCTGGGGGAGGCTTGCATCAGAACTTTATCACTACAGAAGGAGAAAACATAGTGGAAGAAAACAATATGTTCGTAGATAAAATCAAACAAAAAGGGTGCTGAAAAGAAAAGAATAAAATGGTGAAAAACCCAAAAGAAGAAACAGAGAACCGATTGTTTAAAAATTACAACAGCAAAAAAACAAACATAACAATGTCCATAAGCATAAATATGAGGAAAGATTATCTAAAACCATGGCCACAGAATGCCATGAAACGCAGTCACTAAACGATAATTTTAGCCTCCATTTTATAAATGGTTTAGGAAGTTAAATAATAGGGGGTTCAATGAAATGTGTTAATAATAACTAGTAGTAGTTACGGATGCGCGTTTGAAATTAATGTATGACTTCGACCTAATTTATAAACCATTTATAAATTTCTCTCCAAACGGAGGCTTATACAAAGTCGCACAATTCATTATTTGATGTGTATAATCAAAATTTATATGGATCCGTGTTGAAGCCAATGATATCAACTCGTGTGCTGCTAATTTATAAATAACTTCTATTGCACGTATCTGATATTCTTACCAGCTCACCAGCAGCTAGTGTGTCAACAATTTCAAACAAACTCTTAAAAGACAAAATATGTTACTAAACAGTAAAGATGAAAAGCGCAATAAGTAAATATATCACCAAAGTAGTACTAGACTATGATTGGTGTGATTTCCGGATAGGATAAATTGGTGACCATGAATGCAAGAGTTAATAAATGAAAGAATAATTATATTACAAACGAAAAGGGCTCAAGGAAACTCATGTCCTCTCACTGTAAATATTTTTGGATTGAAACTGCAGTTGCTAACCAGAATACACACAGGTAAGTGTTGGAAGAATGAATATCTTGACTGGCAAATTTTTTAAATTAAAAATGTTCTTTGAACTCGTCAGCATGCTAGGGAGGCCAAATGGAGTAAATGTCATATCAGGTAACATCCCAGGTTAAGCAGATTCTCAGCATTTGCAAACTCACTCAGCGTTAACATGGACCTGCTCATGATTCAACCTTAAAAACAGCAGGGCATATTACCAAGTTCAACACATGCAAAACAGTTTAGAACCCCAAGTCAAGCATAAACAGAGAGTTCAATCTCTGCATGGCTTAAAGCAGCTCTACATCTCCTATTAAGAATCTCTTCTCTATAATTTAAATTTCTCAGGTTACAAATAAAATCCTTGTCTGGCTTCCAGTATAAAGTTCTAGTTCTTCATAAATTCTCACTTCTGAAAACAGTATCCCTCACTTTAACATGTATTTGTGAGTATGCGTACTCCAAATTAATCACACACCTCAAATTGAGATTTCTTCGGACAAGACGTAATGAATATAAACAAAAACCATAAACCCAACAGGCCCAAAGATTGAAATAATGGAAATACATAACTAGCATTGCAAGCCTGGAGATTATATTAATATGTAACGCAGATCCCAAAAAGGTAAGAAAAAGAAAAAGTTAATCCAAGATTAGAAAACACGATTACTATTGCAATATTTTAAGTCATTTTGGTACTGGATCCGCTATTCTATTTGCGTGCATAGATTTGATTCTATTCCCCTACCTTATTCTTAAGAGAACCCCCTACCTGACCCCCTTTCAAGAACTCCAAGCCCAATCCATAACCCCCTACCTGAACCCTTTTTAAGAACCCCAAGCCCAAACCATTTCAATGGTTCAGGTGCTTCCATGCCACAAGGCATGACCAACTCCTTCCATTATGGCTAGTTTGCACTTTAGGTAGTTAATTCACTTTTATAGGGATATGTAAGAAAAAAAATGTAGAATAGGGACAAATGGCTGAAATCAGGCTATTTTGAAGGCGGGATCTACACCAAGTGGAGCAGTACGGGACGAAGATAGTGGAGCGTTACAGGACGAAGATGGTATCATCTCTTTCGTGCCTATAAGCTACCCATGTTCCCTGTTCCACGAGGTCTACGTTTAGAACAGGACAAGCATTTACTTCACAGTTCAGAAATTAGCTACTGGTGCAAATGCAAATAACCATAAGAACTAAAAGATATGGAGGCAACCATAAACCCATTCTGCACATCATGGTCAGGGAATACATAAATCGTGAGAAATTGAAAAGAAATAAATACGGTAAAAATTTCACCTTTTTATCCTCGGATAAGGGCACAAGGGGGTGTTTCTTCACGGTAGCGGCAGTGGGTGATATAGAGCTAAAATGACGACGCTTTCGATCAGCTTCACCTGTGCTCCCCATCGGTAAGCCGCCCTCTCGAAACAACCTAGAATTATCGATTATTATCTAAACCTACATAAGATTTATTGGCCACTAACATAACAAACCCTAGCCCACGCACTAGACATTGTGTATGGAAGAATTTTCTTCAAGTAAACCCTAATTCAGGAAAAAATAAAAGAATTATGCAGTTTTCTACTGGCATAAAATCTGGGCGTCAATCGAGTCAATTTGTAATCAACAAGAGTCTTGGGGCTTTGATTTTGTCTCCTTTTTTCCCTTTAAACTGAAAAGACTCTCCCTCACACACACAGACACGCACTCACGCGGACAGACACAAACGAGCTCCTCTGTATACAGCGCGGGGGAGGTGGACTTTAATCGATAGAGGCAATTAATGGGAAATATGAAATTTTGAGAAATCCTGCAAGGGTGAATTAGTCATTCAATCAAAGTGAGACGAGCCGATGCATTAAAAAATAACGAAGTCTAACGCCAATAATTTTAGAGTCTATCTAATATTATAAATTCAATTCAATTGAAAATAAAATTACGTCATTCATTTAATTTTATTTTTCATTTACTGACATTCACGCCACTTAAAATGATATTATAACTCCACTAACTTTAAATAGCATTACTTGTAGTGTAATAAATAAATAGAAATTAGCTATTAATATTTGTGAGTATTTCAAAACATGTAAATAGAAATTTAGAAGTAATTGTTTCAGTAGTCACTGAAATTAGGTTCATGTCTTTAATTGGTCACTAAAATTTAAAATGTCGAATTTTGATCATTAAACTTAAATCCATATCTTCGATTGCTCACTGAAATTTAGAATATCGAGTTTTGGCCACTGAACTTTTGATTATGTCGTACGTTATTTACTAGAATAAATGTTGAACTTTGAAAATTTCAAGTTTACAGTAAGTAATGTACAGTATTTTTCAAAATACAGTGAGTAATGTACAATATTTTTCAAAATTCATTAGTCAAAGCACGACATTTTAAATTTCAATTCACTGAACTTTTGAATATGTCATACATTACTTACTAGCATAAATATTGAACTTTGTAAAATATCAAGTTTACGGTGAGTAATGTACAGTATTTTTCAAAATTCAGTGAGTAATGTACAATGTTTTTTAAATTTCAGTAGTCAAAACTCGACATTTTAAATTTCTATAAGCAATTGAAGATATGGACCTAAATTTATTGACTCGACATTTAAAATTTTAGTGATCAGTTAAAGACATTGACCTAAATTCGATGACCATTGAAACAATTAACTCATAAATTTAATACATCATATGTAAATCCTTTATAAATTGAATAAATGATGTACTAATTATCGTTGCTTAAACTTAGTAACAATAATATGACATAAATTAATTGGTTAGATCATTTTTAATTTATGAAACCTGACCATGAAATTATTAACTTATAATTAAGTTTAACATATTATACTTACTAGATTATTTCTATCAACTATGATTGACGGTAACGTGGCCCTGTCCAGGAATATTTATTGTTATTTCTATATAAACATGACGCAAACATGGGCTAACACATGATGCACGTGCTGGTTCTCAATCTTAAAATTTTCAAATTAATAGCAAGCCACCGTTTACTATAGAATAAAATCACGTTTCGGTAGATTTTGATAAAAGTTAATGAAATATATGTTTAGAAAATTTGTGAGGTTCTATGAAATGTGTAGTTAAAATTAAATATTAATTTTGACTTGAGATTAAGATAAAATTTTAACTTATACCAAACAAAAGCCAAGTTAATTTCGATCAATAGGTTTTGTTTGCAAGATGTCAACAAAAGTTACAAAACTTACACGCGTGTTGTATTTATCTTTATAGTAAGTTGATAGTTGAAACAACGATTTTCATTTATTAGATAGTCAAAAAGGTAACTAACTTACAATCATTGTATTTATCTTAAAAACTTCCAAATTATAGCAAGTTAATCTTCAATTGTTTATGTTTATTTAATAGTTGAAATGACATGTAACTTTGGGCATCATCCTTTTGAGTAGTAGAATAAATAGAAACTCGGTGTCAATAATAAATAACAAATAAATGAAGAAAATAGAACAAGAAATATGGGGAAAACATTTAATTTGGTCACCAAATTATTGCTTTAGTAGCAAATTGGTTTACAAAATAAGTTAATTCTCTCACTTTTTACTAATCTCCATGTATACGAAGAAATGATCAATTAATCCTAGAAGTTTCAACCTAAACTGGAAGTCACATCAGTTCTCATCAAGTGGAAATTCCGTCGAAAGATTCAATATCATTTCGTAACGGTTTGTCTTTACCCACACTCATGAGGAAACCATTCCCTCTGGGATTTTTTCAGCCAACCATACAACTTACAAAAGAACAAATGAATTGACAGATCGAATGAACAAAAAATGATAGAATAATGAAAAATTAATAGACATTTCCTCTTTCATTTTCTTTACAAAAAATTAATGTTTATGTCCAACCTCTACGAGCAATGCCAAAGGAACTTATATTAAAATCTTGATGTTTATCTAAAAAGGCAAAGGAACTTATATTAAAATCTTGATGTTTATCTAAAAAGGGGCTTCGAGTATCCAAAGGAGTTGGGCAAGAGCTGCAAGGGCTCTATGTTAATGCTAAACCAGCAACCTTTCCTTCTAGTTCATCCCAAGACATGGATAAAGAAGCAGTTGCATCAACTCTATGTCCAAGAAGCAAAACATGTTTTCCAGAACACCAACATATTTCTTCAACGTAATCCTTTCTCTCTTTGGCATTTTTATCCATTGAAGCCTGGACACAAACTAATCAGTACTACATATAAAAAATGATTGATGAACAAGAAGGCTAATTGAACAGTACCTCACTGTGAATTTTGGCTATATGACAGGTAAGGCCAATCTTTGCAAAACTTGTTTTTGAATAAAATCATATAGATGCCCATGGTTGCTTAAAAGACTTGCAGAAAAAGCAAAACCTGAATAGCCTAATAATTGATAAAAAAATAATCACAGTAGAGTACAGCAGAAACATAGAACTTCAATGGCTCTGTTTGAGCCACATTCTGTCAAAAAAAAATATTCTTAAACAGTGACTTGACATCATTTCAACAACACATTTTTCAATAAAATAATATTACAATGCAAATCTAAAACATTTTTCTCATTTTTTAACCACGTATTTTTCATCAATTTACTATTTCAAAATACATTATTTCAAAACAATGTGGCTCGAACACACAAAATATTATAACTCGTCTAATTTCCAGCATGATGATACATCACATCATATTTAGAAGTTGGCACAATTTTTTTAATGTTCGGCAAGTTTGACCACCTTGCGTACAAGTAACGAAAGTAATTGAAAAGCCCCAGGGCACATCTCCAAGTGGTAAAAGGGGAGGGTGGAGAAATCCAACTTTGCTTGAGACTGCTGCGTCAAGGGTTCGAATCCTGAAATATGGATTTGGCTCTTGGGTAAGTGCAAGTGTACAAGCAGCCTTCCACCCACACCCTTGGAGGCATAACCTGCGATTTACCTCCCTCACGATGCTCCAGAACAGGGGTGGTGGGGGGCCCTTAAGGTTAGGGTTTAACCTTTAACAAAAGTAATTGAAAATTTCAGCTATTTAGGCATAGTATAACCACAAATTAGGAGTTTTTATCAGAGGACAATAGGTAGGTTTAATATTTGAACATATCCATACCAGAGACTGTAAGCTAAAGATTGGACAATTTCTTGCATTCTTGCCTTCGTATCTTGTCCATGCCAATTTAAAACTGTGCTCGCCTTAGAATTTGATAAAAAGTAATTGTAGTATATGGGAAAGATGTGTCAAGAGCAGATAAATTTAATAAATTCGTTGTCTTTCATTGTTACAGACTTTAGACAAATAAAACTTAAAAATATCTATAAGTTCAACACATATTTTCTCGTTTATCATTATATTGTTACTTAATTTAAACACTTTTTTTACGATATAAGATTGTCACAGCATTAAATAAAATGAAACAAGGAATCTCCAAATGCCATTACAGGCTTCGAATGAGGATGCCTTCAAATGTTATGCCAGGTCCAAATGCCAAAGCTAGTCCCCATTCTTCTCCATTTTCTTTCTTCAACTCCTCCCTCATATATTCCATCACATAAAATATAGTATTGCTGCTAACATTCCCAAAATCCACCAGTGCCCTTCTGCTGCATTCCAGTTTACAGTCTTTCAGATTAAGGGTACTTTCCAATCGGTTTAGGATAGCCGGCCCTCCGGGATGCACTGCCCAAAACAGATCATTATATTCCTTCAAACCAGCTTTCGCCATTAGTTTTTTGCAGAATTCTTCAATGTTGTCTTCAATCTTCTGAGGCAGGTCCCTACCTAGCTTGAAATTTATGCCCTCTTCAGAAAGGCGTCCATCGATTACATTATGAGTTCCAGGTAAGAATCGTTGAATTGCATAATTTAGTTCCATAAATGGTGACTCTTTTTCAGGTATCGGATCAGCGCCAACAATGACAGCTGCTGCACCGTCCCCGAAAAGGGCTGCCCCAACTAAGTCGTAAGGGCGATCTTTGCTTGGAGGCCTAAAACCAAGAATAGTTGTTTCCGAGGTTGTTAGCAAAACCCGACTCCCTGGATTGTTTTCAGCAATATCCTTGGCAACTCTAAGGCCAGTTACCCCTCCGTAGCAGCCTAAGAAGTACAGCATTACACGTCCCACGTCATTTCTGAGGCTAAGTTCACTGGCAAGGTAAAGATCACCTCCAGGTAAGCGTATCTCACTTGAGGAAACATAGACAATGTGGGTGATATCTTCAGTTGGCCTTCCCCATTCTTTTAGGCAAATGATGCTTGCTTCCTTTGCCATCTCGACTACCGCAGCATTCGTTATTTCAAGTCTTTGTTTAATTGTTGGAGAGCCTTCTGTAGCGAGTTCAGGGTATTCTTCTAAGATTTCTTTCGACATGACTGTATATCTGGTTTTCACAGTAGTAGTTTTGCCTGGAGAATGCAACATTAAAATAATGCAAAAAATATCAAATGAACAATTTCTTATAAAATTGTTTGAAAATTTTGTGTTCGTCGAATTCTACACTCCTTTCAAGTGTGTAGCTACAAAGTAATTCACGCCAAAGCGTTCTTTTCTTGGTTCCATATAAACAATTATCACACATTAATAAATTTAATTTGTCTTACATAGGCGCTCGAGTTTCTCTTTAATGACCAAATCATTGCATTTGGTATCTCGAATATAGCCCTCCACCAAGCGCTCTTGAGGAACGAGTTGTCTTGGAAAGGCCTTTCCAATGGCAAGAATAGTGGCCTTTCCGGGAGTTGGTGTACGTCTAGTGGGAGAAGAATATTGCTTAGTTACACCGGTGTTTTTG